TTTTTGGATCCTTCCGACGGTCTGGGCCTAGTTATCTTCTACAGCTCTTTCAGGGAGCCCCAAAATCGAACCGTTTTCAGGAGCCCATAGAATCCCCTTCAAGGTAACACCCTAAACCTTACAATAGCCTTGAAGGAATCCGTCTAATTTCCGAAAATCTCTGAGACTTTTTGTTCCCTACACCCTACACATTAAACCCGTAAAAGCCCTAAAAACCCTAAACAACCTAACAACCTAAACCCTAAACCCTCAAAAACCCTAAAAACCCTAGACCCAAACCCCTAAACCCTAAAAGCCCTAAAAATCTAAAACCCCTAAACCCTAACAACCCTAAAGCCTAAACCCTATATATGGGGTGACCAGTTAGCAGTTGAGTGCAAGCCTGAAAGACAGGCCGGGTGCGAGAGTCAAAGGCCCATTGCATTAAAAAAAACCCTATCAATCCATGGAGGTCTGGCTCTGGGACGGGGAGCTCCAGCCGTCCAGCGCCGCGAACCCGCTCCGGATCTCCGCCGGGGCCACCTGCCTCGGCGAAGCGGGGGAAGCTTCACGGGTTTTAAGATATTTAGGGTTTTAAGATCTTTAGGGTTTTAAGATATTTAGGGTTTTAAGATATGTAGGGTTTTAAGATATTTAGGGTTTTAAGATATTTAGGGTTTTAAGATATTTAGGGTTTTAAGATGTTTAGGGCTTCATGGGTATTAGGATGTTTAGGGGGTTTAGGGCTTTAGGGCTTTGGGGTTTTGGGGTTAGGGTTTTAGGATGTTTAGGGCTTTAAGATGTTTAGGGCTTCATGGGTTTTAAGATGTTTAGGTGTCTAGGGCTTTAGGGCTTTGGGTTTTTGGGTTAGGGTTATAAGATGTTTAGGTCTTTAAGATGTTTGGGGCTTCGTGGGTTTTGGGTTTTGGGGTTTAGGGTTTTAGGGTTTAGGTTTTAGGGTTTGAGGTTTTAGGACGTTTAGGGCTTCATGCGTTTTAGGATGTTTAGGGCTGTGGGGTTTTTGGGTTTTGGGGTTTAGGGTTCAGGGTTTTAGGGTTTGGGGTTTAGGCTTTTTGGGTTTTAGGGGTTAGGGTTTTAGGGTTTAGGGTTTTGGGGGTTTAGGGTTTTAGGGTTCAGGGTTTTAGGGTTTAGGGTTCAGGGTTTTTTTGAGTTTAGGGCTGTAGGATGTTTAGGGCTTTAGGGTTGTAGGATGTTTAGGGCGTTAGGTTTTTTGGGTTTTAGGGTTTGGGGTTTTAGGGTGTAGGGTTTTAAGGTTTTAGGGCTTCAGGGTTTTGGGGTTTAGGGTTGTAGGGTTTAGAGTTCAGGGTTTAGGGCTTTAAGGTTTAAGGGCTTTTAGGGTTCAGGGTTTTAGGGTTTTTTGGGCTTTCAGGATGTTTAGGTAAAGTTTAGGGCTTTAGGGTTTTAGTATGTTTAGGGCTTCAGGTTTTTTGGGCCTTGGGGCTGGAGGGTTTTTAGGGTTTAGGGTTTTAGTGTTTTAAGGTTTTCTGGGTCCGTGTTGGATACAACTTTAGATTTCTGTTATAAAAGAACCCAATAAGGATTAAACATGATAGTTTTTAATATAGCCCCAACAGGGAACAAGTTTTAGCGTTTTAAGGTTTTAGGGTTTAGGGTTTTAGGGTTTAGGGCGGTAGGATGTTTAGGGCTTCAGGGTTTTAGGATGTATAGGGCTTTAGGGTTTTAGGATGTTTAGGGCTTTAGGTTTTTTGGGTTTTGGGGTTTTGGGTTTTAGGGTTCAGGGTTTTAAGGCTTTAGGGCTTTAGGGTTTTAGGGTTTTCGGGTTTAGGGTTTTAGGGTTTAGGGTTTGGCGGTTTAGGGTTTAGGGCTTTAGGATGTTTGGGGCTCTGGGGTTTAAGTTTTTCGGTTTGGGGATTTATGGTTTTTAGGGTTTTTGGGTTTAGGGTTTTGGGTTGTGGGTTTTAGGATGTTGAGGGCTTTGTTGTTGAAAGGCTTTGGGTTTAGTTTTAAGGTCTTTAGGATGTTTAGAGCTTTAGGGCTTTAGGATGTTTAGGGCTTTAGGGTTTTGGGTTCAGTTCTTCACAGGGGTTCTAGTGGGTATATTGGGCTTCAGGGTTCTTGTTTCGGGAAGAACGCCTACGCCTGAGAAAGCACCTACCTTCTCGGGGCTGCAGCTTTTCGCAAAACGGCCTGCCACAGCGCCAGGGGTCTTCCACAATGTAAGTGGTTTAGGGTTTAGGGGTTTGCGTTTAGGGGTTTAGGGCTTAGGGGTTTAGGGTTTAGGGGTTAGGGGTTTAGGGTTTAGGGGTTTAGGGTTTAGGGGTTTAGGGTTTAGGGTTTAGGGTTGGTTCTGCAAGAGTCTTTCGCCGTTGCACCAAGCAGAGCTGTGGATCTGTAGCTTGCCACGGCCAAGACGTGCGCGGGCGGAGCTTTCGAGGTTCTACGTTGCTGGAGCTGCGCTGGCAATTGAGCATCTGCATGCTTAAGCATTGGAGGACTCCAAGTTCTACCACATTCCGGATCAGATGAGAATAACCTTCGAGTTTATCGTGCGCGACGCGTGAATGACTTGCATACAGAATCACCGCCGTGATCGCCAGCATGATCACGAGTACAAGGGTGAAGAGCTTCACCACGTTCGTTAAGTTGCTACCCGTACTCGTTGATTCAGGGTTTTAGGGTCTAGGGGTTTAAAACTTTGGGGTTTAGGGTTTAGGCATAGGGGTTCATTTCAATTACAGGGCTGCTAAAATGGATGCTGCTACGGTTCCTCTAAGGGTTGCTTTAAGGGTTCCTCGAAAGGGTGCTTGAAATCCTTCTACACGGATACTCACTAGGGTTGGCTTTCTTTTGGTGGGAAGGATTCGGACATGGAGCTCTGCGATACAAGCTGTGTGTAACATGTAAGATACAGTACAGTATGTATCAGAAAGGACAGCGATGTTAGCTGTAAAGTCTGTGTCAGGTTTCGCAGGAGCAAGAGTATCATATTCTTGTACCACCTGATATGCATGGCTACCGTAGGGGTCGGAATAGCTAGAAATCTTATCCCTAAACCCTAAACCCTAAACCCTAAACCCTAAACCCTACAATACATTCTTTGTTAAACCCCACAAAAAGCTTGGCGCGGTGGCTTCAGGTTCTGAGCCGCCAGTGGCGAACGGGGAGGCAGGGAATCTGGTAAGAGCTTGGAGGGTCGGGAGACTTAGTAAGTGGGTAATGAGTAGACTTATAAGTACCCTAAAAGGGTTATAGTACTTATACGTCTATAAAATAACCATTTACTAAGTCCCCCGACCCTCCAAGAGGGATGCTACTTTGGGCTGAGATTGTTGGGGTGTCGGATCCTGATTAGGTCACGCAGCGTGTCGTGATCTAGGGAGCTTACCCAGCTATAGACTTTCTATCATATGTTGCTGAGGGACTCGTAATGAAACACCCTGCTTTAAAAAATTGAAAAGGGGGAAGTGTTGTCACAATTCTGACTCGAGCCACATCCTTGTCAGCAAGCATTTCTTTGTTGGCCTGTCTTTTCCCCAAACTGTAAACCCTAAACTACACTTCAGTGTTGAGCTGTAGATAAAACCC